TGCCTCAGGTCATGGGGTAACAGCTTGTCCAAAGAAGAACGTCTGCAGGGAGTGAAAACATAGGTTTCCACCTAAGACTCAGGATGTCTTTTGCAGGAAAGTGGATCTCGGCGTGAAAGGGTTCTTACAAGATACCTACATGTTTCCCAATTTTTTTAGTTTTCAAGGCGGGGTGCAGTGCGGTGGTGTGGAAAATATCAGTTGCATTACTCTAAGACTTAGAGTAATGTCTGTTTTATAAATTTCCCTAAATGAGTTTTTTAATCACTCTTTTTTCATTGAACTTCTTAGTGGCCTCATTAAAATGCTTCAGAGCATATTAAAACAAAACTGCACTTCAAATAGAACTTTCAAAAATCAATATATATTTAATTTTTGTATTTGAGCAGTTAAAGGATTTGAAAAATATATGTTCTTGTAGATTTCTGTTTAGAATAGTGGCTGCTTCTTTAAAATAATAATAATAAAATATGAGGATTTTGCCCAAAACATATTTTTCTCAATATTTACAAACTCTTGTTTATGAGCATGTGTGGATATTTATATTCTTATATCCAAAGGAAACATTTTTCTCAATACTTATAAACTCATGTTTATAAGTATGTGTGGACAATTACATTCTTCTAACCAAAGGAAACATACTTTTGAGTCACTAAATTAGAAATACTTGGAAGTTTCTCTAAAGTTATGTGTTGTCAGTTTGCTTTTGATATTTGAAACAAGTGAAGCTTTTAGTTTCCACACTGGAGGCAATCAGCACCTAGCATATGGTGCTTGAGATGCTGAACGAAGCAGGGCTCAGCTTCACAAGCAAGGCAGCTGGTAGATTTGCCGGTTCTTTTCCAAATTACTCATCATGTTTTGAGTTGCTGCTGGAAAAAATGTGTTGCCCATCTCCAAAATAGATGTTCTTTTTTTATTTTTAAGCTTGGGAAAGACTTCCAACTGAAAATAAGACAGATGGGTATAGGAAGCGAGATATTTGTCCCTATTTAGATCATTTTCTTCTATCAATTACCTAATCAGAAGTGTTTGTTAAATAAATGAATATTTCAGCATTTACAGTTACCTGTGTCCTAGGATGTACTGTTGCTCTTCATATAAAGAGTGCCTCTGGGACAGTAAAAGGTCAAAACCATAGGAAGGGCTGGTGAATTTTTAGTGACCTAAATGGCATTTGTCTAGGTCAGTGATGGCGAACCTTTTGAGCTCAGCGTGTCAGCATTTTGAAAAACCCTAACTTAACTCTGGTGCCGTGTCACATATAGAAATTTTTGGATACTTGCAACCATAGTAAAACAAAGATTTATATTTTTGATATTTATTTTATATATTTAAATGCCATTTAACAAAGAAAAATCAACCAAAAAAATGAGTTCGCGTGTCACCTCTGACAAGCGTGTCATAGGTTCGCCATCACTGGTCTAGGTTTTGTGGTAACCAGTGAATAAGGACTTGGATTAAAGGGCTCATTTTGAAGTGTAGACCACACAGAAGATGAGTAAGTGAAATCTGGAGAATGCTATCCTCCATTGGCAAGCATGTGATTGTCGGCTTTCAGTAAAATTTTCCACACTGAGGATCCTCTACTACATCAAGACTTATTCTTACACTCTCAAAAGCACAGGCCAGACGAGTTTATTCCAGTTGTAAAGTACATAGATTTGCCAATTCTTTAACTCAGATACAGCTCACAGGAGTCATGCATTTGGACAAAAGTCCCGATTTAGAGGTTTATAATGATTTCTAAATGTACTTTCCACACAGACTACCAAAGTTGCATCTGGCATACAATGTAGGCATTGGTTCCTGAATCTATTAGTATTCTGGAATCTGCATATATTTCTAATTTTCATTTGAAAGCTTTAGATAGGAACAACTCACTGAAGTTTTTTATAAATTTTATGTACTTGGTACCTATATCTTCAGCTGTTTTTCTCCCCTTTCTGCAGTTTTTACCTTTAAAGTTATTGGTAAGAGATTCAAAGTTGAAAAACTTACATAGTCCACTAACAAATATTAACATTAATGTATGTAGTTTTCTATTATTTCAATATTTAATTAGATTTTATTTGATTTGTATCTTTGGACCTTTCAATAAAAGGTGACATATCTAGAGTTCCTAAATTAAAATTGATGTACAAAGTTGATATAAAGAAAAAGCAGGCTAATTTCTTCATTATCAGTTTCTCCTTTGGTGATCCAATAACAGCATATCCATCATTCAGTTTTCAAAATTAATAGTAGTTGTCAAGTTTAAAGTATAGTTCTTCATATTTCTGAACATTGTCATACGTCATTTGAAATAGATTTATTAAATGACAGGCTTTCCCAGAATAAAGTATAATGTGTCAAGAAGCTATTCTTTAGTTCCAGTCCAATGGGAATCTAAGAAATCATTTGAAACAGAATAAAAAAGAGAAATAACTTGTAAAGTGCCTTGGACATGACAAATGCATCTTAATACTACTCTATGTGCATAATAGTTTCTAAACAATATATTTTGTATTTATGAGTTTAAAATATATTTGAAATTGTTAACAAATTGTTCTATTTGGGGGGGACTTTAGAAATAATATAAATCAAGTGGTCATGGTTCATTGGCAAATGGTTACTCTATATAAAGATCTATAAATTAAATGTGATTTTTCCTGTTAATTTGTAGTTATTATTTTATTATTTCCCATTCACTTCTTGATTTTTGATGCCATATCATAATGTGCAAAGTTATCACAGTAGTATGAATTCTTATAAATACAAAAAATGAAGCTTAAAACTATAATCTATTCCTCATTTTTCTAACAACATCAATAGTAAAAAGCATGACCAATTTAATAATTGTGTTTTTAAAAAGTCTGCCATTTATGTTCAATTAACTGTAAGCCATAACTGTATTTCAAAAATATTAAAATGTGAAAAAATGTTTCTCAGAAACTAGGAATATGTTAACCAATGTTGGCATAAAAAATTCACATAAATTATCAATCTTGAACTAAATTAATTCCTACAGCAGCTTTATAAGTCAGTATTATTCTCCCCATGTTATAGACAAAGAATCTGAGAATCAAGGATATTAAATAACTGACAAAGAAATTACTGCTCAGAAATACTAGAGCAAAAATTCAGGTTGAGAAACCAAAGTTTGATTTTATTATACTTTCTATCCATGTAAGTATATACTATCCTAATATATAAAGAGGCAGGGTCCGTCACGACCTAAACGTCTGGATGGATGACCGAACACCAGGCTAGGGTCCCGGCGGGTGCGGTGGAAGTCAGTTCTGGGTCCTGGCCGCCCGCAGCGGGAGTCAGTCCTGGCTTGCAGCGTGGCGGCAGGAGGGAGCTGTGGGAATGGAGCCATGCTGCCATTGGACTGGCCTCTTGGTCCCTCTTCCCGCCTGCATGCTCTGGGGAACCAGAGTGATGCTGTGATCTGGAAATCTTGGTCCCTCTCCCCGCCTGCAGGCTCTGGGGAACCAGAGCCATGCTGTGATGGGACTTGACCCCACCTGAGGGGTCCCGGATTGAGAGAGTGTGTAGGCTGGGCTGAGAGACCCCCCAAGTGCACGAATTTAATATAATAATAAAGTTTGTCATGTTTCAACAAATGGGAAAGAAGATTATAAATTTGGACCAATATGCATCAAACAATGAATGACAAGCCAGTATATTAAGAAAGCTTTTAAAGTAAGATGGAACATTTATAAAGCTTTGTTGAATTGAGTAAATTACTGAGATATCTTGGTGTAATAAAGAAGCAGTGTATTAGATTCGTTCATTCATTCAACCATCCATCCATTTATGCATATATCTATTCATTTACTTATAACACAACTAGAAGCCCAGTGCACGAAATTCATGCACTGGGGAAGGGGGGTCCCTCAGCCTGGCCTGCACCCTCTCGCAGTCCGGGACCCCTCAAGGGGATGTCCGCCTGCCGGCTTAGGCCCAATCCCCCTAGAGATTGGGCCTAAGCTGGCAATCAGACATCCCTCTTGCAGTCTGGGGCTCTCACAATCCAGGACCCCTTGCTCCTTATGGCCTGCCTGCAGCGAAGGCAGGAGAGGCTCCTGCCACTGCCACTGCATTCACCAACAGTGAGCCCAGCTTCTGGGTGAGTGCCTGACCAACAGAAGGCAGCTCCTGCAGTCAGCATCTGCCTCCTTGTGGTCAGTGTGTGTCATAGCCACTAGTTGGTCAATTTGCATATTATACTTTTATTATATAGGATTACCAAGGTTTTTTTTACCTAAACACATTTATTGGTAGGTTAAGCTAAACTTTCAAAAAATGCAGATAGGTTATTAAATCAATGAATTTAAAAATAATTTATCTTCCAAATATTTACCAATAATAACCACTTACATTACTGCAAGCAAAAGCTGTTCACTTCAATTTTGCAAAGCCAAATGAAGGATGAAATATATTGAAACCACAAACCTTTCATGCCAAAGAACATAGCTCATTACTTTCTTTTCCTCTTAGTTTAAATAACTATTTATAATAACTTGAAGCATTCTACTAAATGTATTTAAATAGGTATGCAGATAAGAAGTATGCAGCAGTTAAAATGCTCTTAAAAAGCAAAGACCCCAAGCAGCTTAAAATAAGGGAAGTACACAAAATGATAGAACTTCTTAATTTATTCATACATAACTAATTTTTGAATATCAAACATAACTAATAATTGATTATTTTATACATACCAGAAAAAGGGAGTATTGTATTTTTCTCAAGAAAAGTTTGCAGTTTATAATATTAACCATTCACATATTCTTTTAGAAGAAAATTGTTACCTATTCATTGTTAAAATAGCAGAAGTCACTACAAAATTGTTTATCAAAGTGATGAAAAGATCAGAAACAACTTTTACAGAAGACAGTCCCTCAAGCAATATTTTAACAGGGATGAATATATTTCATTCTGTCAATTTCTACTATGCATGAGTTATGAAGAACTGTACAAAGCCATGCTAAATGGATAGAAGGATGGCTACTTACCAACAGGGCGAGCTGTAGACATTACAATGGTGTGGTGAGAACATAAAAAAGAAATTAAAAGAAAAGAAAATTATCAGAATGCATGATGTGTAATGTTACATTTAAGTATGGACAGTAGAATGATTTCTAGTCATAATTCAAGTATGAACAGAATGTCTGAGTTTGATAAAACTGAACGTTATAATGTAATTCCAAGAAAGTAATTATTTTTGCATGCCAGGATTAACTATAAGCAATTAGAGAAATTTTATGTAAAGTCATATCTTCATCACTTAACTATAGTTATAATTTCAATGGTGTTTTTAGAGTTAAAAAGCCTTGTGGTACTGTAAAGTTAAGAATCTGATTACTCTAACTATTCAAGTCACAGACTAGCAAATGTCATGTCAATAAAAGAAGGCCTCACTGTCTGATTTAAATAGCAATTGGTTTTTAAGCATGGTTAGTCAGAACCATTATAGGACTACAGAAAAGCCCAGGACACTGCTTTTCAGCCAATAATAAGTTAAGATCACATCACTTTTCATCCCTGGACAGGGCGGATGAAAATATAACAAATAGGTTGGAACATCTTTAAAGATTTCAGCTGAGTAGCTCCCTAACTACTGTTAAGCTTTTTCTTATTTTGGCAGAGGGCAGGAAACAATGACTGACAAGTTGATTCCTGTTCACACTGAAAATGGCTTTCAAACTGGTGCTTCAATAAATTGTTATTTTTATTTTACTGTAACTTTCAATTACTAAAATCAGTAGTAATAAGTTGCCTCTATTATTAATGCACAGAAATTATAAGAGACACACATGAGCTTAATAACATTTTTTAAAAAATGAATAATGCTAAATCAACTTAGATAGTAAACCACTTTATATAAAAAGTAATAGGCAAATATAGAACATATGGTCCCATTTTTTAAATGAAGAAGAAATACATGTAGTAGCATTTAAACTTTTATAAAATCATACATTAAAAATATAAATTTATTAGACAAGCATTTCACCCATATCCTAGAGAATGAAGCTCTAATATATATGAAATGAGACTCTAGAACTGATGGCTAGTTTCATCCTGATGATGTTTCATGAGGAATGATGAAATACATATGGCTTTTCAAACCATGTTTATAGATACTCATTCACTCAACACACACATCATAATACAAACATTGTGCAATCTCTGAACAATACTAGAGTTGCTTTTATGTGAGATCCATGGTTTTATAATATTCACAATTGAAAGGGGAGGTTAAGACAATTCAAAGAAAAATAAAGTAATTATAGTAGCAGTATGAAAACTCTAGCGTGCTCCATAGTCTATGATGGGTTTACTATAGTAACAGGAATAGAAGAATTTGCCCAATGTATAACAACTTATTTTTGTTTTTTGTTGTTGTAGGGGACACATGAAAATAATAACCAAGAATAAGACAACAGACTAACATCATAAAGTTGTGGCTTATTCTCACTGACAAGATTTCGATTAATTTTGCCAATGTCCAACAGAAAAATAACTCTTTCATTTTTAAATTTGTATTTTCATGTGCCATCCTAAGCTGAATCTTAAACATAATGTTTCCTATACATAGAAACAAAGCAGCATTTTGATTCTATGCTATTAAACAGTGATAAAGAAGAAACCATGGTGAGAAATCATTTTTTTTAAGAAAAAAAACACATTTGTTTTTTACTTAGTCTAACTAAGTTTCAAAAAAAATTAAGGAATTATTGCCCTACAAACAAAATGGTTATTCCAATGAAGTCTTAATTTATGCAAAGCCAATTTGAGCAATTGAAAAATAGAGAAACAGTGTGTTTACAAATATGCAGTTTGAGTTAACACATTTTGAAGGTAATCTTAAAAGTTCTGTTAGATCATGAATTATTTGATTAGAATATAAACGCTAGGAAGTTTGTTGTCCACCATCATTTCTTTCAAATTTTATGTTTGTCAAGTCAGCAAAAGAAGCTACTTGCTGTCAAGTTAAATTGTATAGACTATTTTCACCATATTTTTGAAATGGAAAACCAACTACTAAGTCACTCTTTCAGATTTTGACTATAAAATTTATTTTCCTTTTCCCCATTTGGCTAAAGTGAACATTGTGATAAAATTTTAGCAGAAACATCACAATAAAATCTCTTGTCTTTGTTACATATCAGCATTTAATCCCAGAAAAACAAAACAAAAACAAAAACAAAAACAAAACAAAACAAAACCCCAATAGGTGAATGTTGTCAAAATCAGCAAATTAAAATAAACTGTGTCCCTGCATTAAATTGATGAAAATAGATGTGGCCTATTGGGTCAGAGTTGACCCTGTTCTAATAAAACAAGCAAAGGAAGGACTGAACATTTCATTTATGTGCATAGAAAAATGAGCACAGAAAAAATGTCATAGATAATATTTTTTTCCTGTTAACCTGTTAGCATGAGGAATCCCAACTGCTTTTTCTAATGATTAAAATATTTAAACAATATTTTATTCTACTTTCTATTGTATTATGGAGATTTTTTTTTCTGTGGCCGGTTTGAGGACTCAGTGTTGGATGAGTTATAAATATACACCACACAGATTAAACTCTCTATTCCATCCACAAATTTTGCTGATTTTAAAAAAATCCTATTAAAAATAAATAACTCTTTCTATTAGTTTTGTAAGTTAGCTTCAAATGTAAAGGTCCATGCAGGAGGAGCATGCTTTGTTAAATGAAATGTTAAACCTGAAACTTTCAACAAATTATGAAAGCAATTAGCTTGGAAAGATCTTAAAGCAAACAGAACACTTCAAGTCTCATTCGCCCAGGCATTCAAGTATAAAGGAACCCTGCTGCTTCTACAAACAAACAACTCCTCACATTTTCTCACCATTTGTTTAGTCAGCAAATAGTTTTTGAATGGAAAATTTCTTTGTTGCTTGTTTATTTTTCCCCCATTCACTTCAGAAAAAAACAAACAAACAAACTTTGGGGGGAATTTGGTCGAGTGAATTATTTTTGCAAAGGACTGCCTAGAGAAAAACAAACATATGTATAAATATAAAATCAGCTATAGAGAATTCAGGTTAAATATAGTAAAGAGGCTTATAGAGGCTCATGTTTTGACCATATGTAATCAGTATGTACATTCAATTGATATATAATCATAACTTTTTATGATGTGTTGCCTAATGAGACATGAAAATATTTTTAAGCAACTAGCTTGCCAATTTTGCCTAATGTGTTTTGTATATCAGTTCACATCAAACTGGGGGAAAAATTAAAGTAGATGGAATAGAAATGGAGCAATTGGAAATTATAGAAATTACCAATGTTTTCCAGGTATCCAGAGTGCATATGTCTCCTAGTAATTATCTGAAGGAAGGTGAGGGTTTTCTTTATGATTTGATGCCCAAATTATAGGTCTGACAAAAAACAATTTGAGAACAACCAACCCAAGTTCCTCTAAACCTTTCTCCTAATCTTATGAAAAGTTCTGGGAGCAAAGCTGCCAGAGTAAGAGGTATGACTAAACAGGGTGAGCAGTAGCTGAGACCTGCATGAGAGTGTGCAGCCAGCCTCCTCATCAGAAGGCTGAGAGAAGAAAGTGTCAGGGGAGTGGAAGAAAGATTAAAAGAATGAACAGGGCATGCATTTGCCTATTTCTGTCTAAAGTTCGTTGAGAGTAAACAATACCACAGATAATGTCTATTTGGCCAGAGTTAGTGTGGCTGTCTGCTTGGTACTACTTGGTACCTTGGGCTATGTAATTTACTCATATGGATCAGTGTGCACCACCAGGAAGAGAGTTAATTCATTCTAGTTCACCGTAGGGTTAAGTAATGCTTTCCTTCACTTATAAGCAATTCCAGGGAGTCTATAAACGAACATTATCCCATGACTGAGAAAGTGCATGACACCCAGAAAGTGAAAGTTATTACAGGAGGAGTGCTGGCTATTTCAATTATTTAAGGCCAGTGAACTTCACAAATCACTCTCTAAATCAGATTTTCTCAACGTGGGAGCTCCTTTGTATTCATTTTTCACCTTTTGAAGCAGTGTTAGGTTTTTTTGTGTGTTTTTTTTCTGCCAGATTGCTTTTTGAATGCTGGAATAAAAAAGAATTTCAAAACAGTACTCTGCAAGTATAAAGTAACAAACTACTAAACTGAAACACAAAGTAATTTTGAAATTAGCCACATTTAAAAGCAACAAATAGTTCAAAGCAATGGAAATATAAATATCTATTTTTAAGATTTATTTTAAAATCATGTTAGCTATTATTTATTTTTAAAAATTAATTACTTCAAATAATCATCCCTTTGAACACAAATTTGAAAGTAATTTTACCTCAATTAATAATACAGTGTATACAAAATCTATGCCTTTTAATATAATAATAAAACAGGGTAAGCTATTATTTTGATGGTGGGTTCACTCACCCATGTAACTAAATATTAGCCTGCTGGTCCAATCATGTTACACATCTTCGGTCTCTTACCTCGAACAGTCAGGGTGGCAGAGGCTTCCACTTTTCCAACCCGATTCTCGGCAATACACATGTAAGTGCCTTCATCTACACTCAAGGCCTTTTTAATTCTCAGCGTGTAGTCATCTTTGATGTCATATCTGTGTAGAATATAAATTGGTTTTATTAAATAGCTTTGGTTATATTTAGATAACAGTTCATTTTTCTACTCTGTTTTGCCTGAAATAAAATAAAACACACACACACACACACACACACCACCCTCACACACATACCACACACACACACACACACCCCACCCACACACACACACCACACACACACACACACACACACACACACACACACACACACACACACACACCCCATTCAGCCATATAGTGTAATGCTTAGATTAAAGGTATTGCTAATATGATCATTAATTTCATATCTGATCTCCAGGTGCTTGATTATTAATTACCTATTGTTATATATATATACACAACCCTTGCCACATCCTAATTATCAAATGTGTTCAAAAAACTCAAAAACATTTCTTCACAAAGATAAATGCACCTTATGTTCATTGAAGCATTATTCACAGTGGCCAAGACATGGAGACAACTAAAGTGTCCTTCAGTAGAGCATTGGTTAAATAGATGTGGTCCATATATACTATGGAAAACTATTCAGCCATAATAAAAGATGAAATACTGGCTTTTGCAACAACATCGATGGACCTTGAGAATATTATGTTAAGGAAAATAAGTTAGTCAGGAAAACCTAAAAACCAAATGATTTCACTCATAGGTGAGGTATAAAACTGAAACTCATAGACATAGACAACAGTATGGTGGTTACCAGACAGAAGGGAGTGGGAGATAGTAAAGGTTAAGGGGGCAAAATATACGGTGATGAAAGATGATTTGACTTTGGGTGGTGGGCACACAATGCAATATACAGATCTTATAGAAATATGCACTTGAAACCTATACGATCCTTTTAACCAATGGCATCCCAATAAATTTTTTAAAAGAAAAAAATCCACAAAAATATTAAATGTTTAATTAATAAGAAGAATTAAAATTTATATTAAATGTTAAAATAACAACAACAAATTATCAAATGCACTACCAGCACTATTTTTGGTTACTCTTAGACAACAAGTAGTTCATATTTGAGTTTCTTGGTGAGTTATATCCTATCATTTTATAGGTTATACTGCTTTCAAATGTATGGTTTATGTTTTTAGGTATCTTGAGTATAAGAGAGCTCAAATATTTAATGGGGAAATTTATTTTCTCATTTGTTGGCAAACTGACAAAATAAGCATTCGTTAAAAGAATTAAGAACTTTTATTAAATCATCAACATTAACTCTTAAAATATCAACTTGTCTGGAGTGATCCTGAAAACGCACATGCTCTTTCTCCAATGGATCATAATTCCTCTGAAACAATTACTTTTTCCTTAAAACTACATATTTCACAAGCAATTAGATGTTAAATATCTCCACAGGTCCAGTAAATGTGGCCTTTTTTCCTGTATTTCTTTCTGGATAAATTGGTATATGCTCAATTGTAATCTCATTGATGCTTTACACTATTGCTCTGGGTATTTAGAGAAATGTGCATTTTCCCCAGAAAGCAAATATTGACTGAGTAGTATGATAAATTTGAGTAATAGTTTCTTACATTTCAAGAGTTCTTTACATTTCACAACAGAATTTAATAGACGATTTCACAACAATAAATGACTTAGAGATAATGCCTACTCCCAGACACCATTTTATAGAAGATGGCAAGATTGTTGTCTTGAGTTGCAAAAAAAACTGTGACAGTATTTCTGTGACAAGGGCATTTATTTTTCTAACACAGAGCAATGCACCCCTCCCAGCTGATGTGTGTGTTTACTGTTCTAATTGCCTATGCACTGAGCAGGTGTGCATTTCTCTATTTTGTGTTCAGAGTTTCAAAAACTCCAGAAAACACTGTATCAATATTTTTCTCAATATGAATCTAAAACCAAATGTAATCCTTAGAGGTTCATAATGTGTTAACTAACACAGACACACCTTAAAATTATTATGTTATTGAACAACCTAATGTACTTAAAAACTTTGCCCTGATTTGCTCTTATACTGTTTTTACATAATTGAGAATGAATTTTAAATAATTGGATTATACTTTGGTAGAAAACAGCTACTTTTGATACATGGTATAATGTTATATACATTCAACATGTAGGAGGTATCATCTGACTTTAATTAAAAATAGGGAAAAAAATAAATAAATGAAAAAACATTACTTGTGAGGAAACCCTAATAGAAATGGGGTGATTTTGATTGTGAAATCTGCCATTCTCAGACTTGTATAAATGCAGTCATTGTTGCCAGGTTTGATTAATGACAGTTGTACAATCATGTGCTGACAGTCCCCACCATAAAGATACTTTTTTTTCCTGATATGAAACACTGCTGAAAAATGCAACCCAATCAGATTTGGCCGCTGGACAACATGTGCCATCATCACTGTACCGTGAATGGAGATTGATTGGTAACCAGCTGTGACAAAGTGGCAAAGGAAGCTCTGGTTTTGTGTTGTGTGTCCCCCCCACCCCCCATGCAAAAAAGAAAAAGAAAACTGAATTGTGTCAAAACCATTACCATCTGTTCAGCTAAATAATAAACAAAACAAAATAAGTCAAAATAAATTTATTTTAATACTTAAAACAACACTTTGTATGCAAGTTTCTATTTGTGTGTGATCTTCTTAAAAGTGTTTCAAAAGAGAAAATATTATTCATTTTTTAAAGAAACAGAGTACTACATTTTAAAATCACTTCTAAATTGAAATGACATAATCTATTGTAATTCTTCCTCCTAAAGAAACTTTCTCTTTTGGGAATGTTTCTTAGAAATCTAAATTACTTTGAAAATATCAAACAAGATTTGAAAAATGGCAAAATTTTATAACATAACCACATTTCATACATTTCTCTCACTTTGCAATCCCCAATGCACATTCAACTTCTAGGGTAGAAACTTATGATTTCCTGGCGTTTGTGGATATAACTTAGGGACTTCTCCCTCCAAGTTTTCCACAGTGGCTTTAAAACTTGGGAGGAAAAAAGAACAACAAATACACTACAAATTCTGTTACAAAGTGGAATTTTACCGTGCTCAGTTCAAGACTGTGTATCTCATTGCCTTGTTTGGATTCCATGAGAGCTCTACACTATTAAATCTCCCTGAATGACCATTTTCATCTCAAAAGCACCTTTGTTTTTCATGGAAGTAAATTTATTTTCTCAACATTTTTAGTTTTTGAAATTACCTACTACTTCTTGCTATAAGATGCCTGACTCCTATTAATCATTAAGTTGGCCAATAGGAAAAAGTATGAATTTAACCAGGAAATATTTAATGTCTATGCAAGTAAATGTGTCTATTTTTTTAGGGAGACTTGAGAAGTTTGTTTTCAATTTTCAAAAGACTTAAAGTCAATCCAAAGAGCTGAAGATCACCTTCTACCTTTTACACTCTTTCAAACAATAAATGCCTGCAGTTATAGCCATTACATAGTTCCATAATTCAATACAAAGTTAACTATGGAGCTTTACATGAAAAAGTCACAATGTTTATTGCCTATCCTAAACAGAATAATTTTTAGGATAAAAATCATATATTAATCTTATAAAATCATTCATTGATCATTTAAGACACACCCTTAAACTAATAGAGGCCATGGTGTGGATTATAGTAGATAGGGAGATGCATCCATTTAGAAGTCAGTGATGATGTATTTCTATTAGTCAAAAAAGTCCATTTTAATAATTCACAACTTTGAATCGAGGTACTCTTCTACATAACATAAACGTTCTCGGAGAAATTTAAATCTTTTGCCTCTTTCAGTCTTGACAGCTGAAAATAGGAAAAAGTTGTCAATTCTCCTGAAACAATTTTTCTGCTCACAGTTTTTCAATCAAAATCTTTCCACAGACAATACTTGTTACCAAAACTCATATAAGTGCTTCTTGGCAACCTAAATATCAAGTGATATTTTCTTAACCTTTAATATTTAAGGTATATCCTAAAGTTAAGCTCTTAAATTACAATTGAGGTCTGGGATCTTCAAATAGCCAAAACCAGCCATTAGTATTTTGCTGGTGAAGGGATACTGAGTCAAGTTTGCTATACATTCTAGCCAACCTGGGTCACATTCTTTTTTTAATCTACGGTTATAATGTAGGTTAGCGTTTACCATTTGGGTAAAGAAATCTTTACCTATTCTTTCAATTAGGTCACAAGTATCTCTGGGCAGGGAAACTAAGAGCAATATAAAAATACAGATATTCCTTTAAAAATGACAATTAATGTAATATTCATTGAAAAAAGGGTAACAAAAATCTTGGGAGAGATTTGTATGGAAATAACAAGCGGCAAGGTGGTCTCTGAAGAGAACTTGCTGTTCTGTTCTGGAAGCCTCTACTGTAAGCCAAAGTGAACCTTGATGATACTCTGACTCTGACTTAAATAACCAAACTACTCTTCATAATTCTCATTGAGTTGTGTGGATTTGTCATCCAGTCGCTTACACATCCTTATAACCATTACTCTGAATTCTTTCTCTGACAAATTACTTGCCTCCATTACATTTGATTCCTTTTTCTGGTGATTCCTCTTTTTCTTTCCTTTAACTCTCATATCTTTCCTTAAATGCTACCCTGCTACCTCCAACCCTTGCCAGCCTGACTCATAGATAGAAAACTCCTCTACTTTATCTCCCTTTAGCACAACTGAGAGAGCAGGACATTTTCCAACTAAAAAGCTAAGAGAAAACAAGTAAGCGAAAAAGATGCTTTAAGACATCCACAATAGGATAACAATAATTGACATAATGAAGTGCAGATTTCAGATCACCAGGTAGTTAGGCCCAATGACAACAACCAGACAGCAGGACACCCACCACCTTGCAACCAGAGCCTGTCTTTGGAGTTTGAGAAATTAAACCAAATTGTAGCTGAGCCTCCCAGAAAGGCCAAAGCATCCTGCTCACCCAGAAACTAAAAGTGCCTGTGAGTTTTAATCAGTGTTTAGGCTGTGGCTATCTTTTGTGTGTCACTGTCTCTCCCATCTTCCACAACTATGACAGGCAATAGAG